GAAATTCTTTCTGAGGAACTTCAGCGATACATATCCTTTCTTGATTAAACCAGTTTATTCTTTCTCGATACACACTTTTAGTCCACAGTAATTTCACAATCATTATATTTCTAAACTTAACTATTTTTATAAAACACGCTATAAATCACAGCGATTCACACACTTTACTTATGGTGCCTACTGTTTGCTTGACTCAGTTATCTATCTCTTTAATCCCGCTGATTTTTATCGCCAGGCTTATATACTAAAAAGAGGGCGTCTCGAATGCACTCGGGCCTTCATGATCATTCGAGAAATTTCAGCGCGCATGCTCCCAGAGTCACGCGACTTCCGCTGTCGTAACAATATATATAGTGTAGACCAGTGTTTCTCAACCTATTTTTGCTCGTGGCTCCCTTTTGATTTTGATTTATCTCTGTGGCCCACCCTTCGTACGAAATACTAAAGTTTAAGAATGTTCAAATGATCAAACTTAAAATAGCAATTTAATATTAATTTCTGATCAGAGCAAGCTACTTACTTAGAGCGAAACTAAATATCAATCTAGTAATGAATATAGCAAAGACCAAGACATAGCGCACCTCACGAAGACAGCCTATACATAACAAAAAATACATAACGTCAAGATTTATTGACGACCGACAAAACAGATATCACACCCACAAACAATTACAAACCCGTAAGTGAACAAATAAGGTTTGTCAGACATGATCTCATTCCGAGATTAAAAGAAAACAACAAAGTAACAAAGAATTTTTCAAGAGGGTTCCTACACACCCAGACACGTGCACATAGTTACACGTATATTATGTGTTACTTATTTTTTCTTATTTTGCGCTGTTTTTCCAAATGTGTAATTTGTCTACTGCATAAAAATAAGTAGTTCACAGCTTTGTTCTTACTGATATCATAGTTTTGACGAACTTATCTTTTCATAATTTTCTCTACTCCAGGTTAAAAGAAGAACGTCATTGTGATTTCCTGTTTTACTGCTGATCGAATTGACCGAAGAGTTTTGGATTTCATTTTCTTATATTTTCTTTACTCTCTGTAATTTTTTCTTTATGTATATATATAAATTATTATCTTTAAATGTTTGTTTGTAATTAAGCACAAAGCTACACAAAGGGCTATCTGTGCTCTGCCCACCGCGGGTATCGAAACCCGGTTTCTAGCGTTGTAAGCCCACAGACATACCGCTGTGCCACTGGGGGCTCTTTAAAGTGTCGACACTGTGAGAAAGAAAAGAACGTTATACAAAACGTTTAAAGTAATTTAGAGCTTTACTTTATACTAACAGAATTAAACTAAATTGTGCTTCCTTAAGGATGGGAACTATGTGTGGCCCAGTATTTAGCGTATCGGACTGTGTGAACTAAATTTTGCTTCCTTAAAGAAGAGGGTCAAGTGTGGCCCAGTGTTTAGCATATTGGACTATGTAAACTAAATTTTGCTTCCTTAAAGAAGAGGACCGAGTGTAGCCTAATGTTTAGCGTATCGGATTCTGTGAACTAAATTATGATTCCTTAAAGATGAGGGCCTAGTGTCGGACTGTGGATATGCTGATTCATCGTCCTGTTACAGCAAATAATAAAAATAAAAGTCGCACTCCACACTTTGGGTGCTTTATAAGGTGAGATCTCATTATTCGGTCAGACAAGAGTATCCAAAGAGTTGTTGGTGGGTAATGTTGACTACTTTCTTCCCTCTTGTCTATCAATTCAAAATTAAGGACGGCTATAACAGATAGCCCTTGAATAGCTTTACGCCATATCTTGAAATAAACTTAAAGAAGAGTTCTGAAAGGCTGTTTTTACGATTTTTAAATTTAATTGTGTTCGGACAAAAAGTTAGCCTAAATCGCATATTATAACTACGACTTTCTGTATATATATATAACAGTCTTCTTAGACTGTAAAGTTGCAAGATTCCGCCAACGTTTCGACTTTATTAGCATACACATTTCTTCATTAAACTCCAAAGGATAGATCATATAGTGGATTTTCATTCGGCATACCAGTTTAAATTCCGCTTTGAATCGTTTTCCCTTTTTATTGTTACTAGCCACAATAATATCAAACAAAACATGTTTGAAGTGTGACGCAACGTTATAACATTTCTACATTTTGCTTAGAATTTATTACAACTATATATTATTAATGTTATCTTTTATGTTAGTAAATTAGACTTTGATAACTAATATTGAAAAAATATTCTCTAATTGTTAGTCACTAATAAAATAATTCATACATTCAAGAAGCTTTGTTCAATTTTCTACATACATTTTTGTTGTTTTTGTTGCTGTATTCAGACAACATTAAGCTCGAAGTTGATAATTTGACATTTGTTGTATTCATAGTTTACTACTTATGGAAAAATAACGTTTTAGTTATTTGTACACTCATCTTCATGAAATAATTCAATTTCTCTATTAAATTAACAAGTTAGCGTGATATTTTTCAGTAGATCTGTAAAACTACAAATATTATTGGGAACTAGATTCTATATTCGCTATCAGATCAGAGGGAAACTTTGCCTTAACACTACATGCATCAAAGATACTAGATCGATGGTTTAAAATACGAAAAAATATAAATTATAGTTAAGAATATTCGATCATAGAGTCGTCTACTTCAGTACACAAACTTGTTTACATTGTAATTATTCTGAAAACAAAAACTGTTTTTATTCCCTTGGTTTGTGCTCATCCTAATAAGTGAAATATAGTACTTTTAATAGGAATTCGTTACTGAAAGCACGAAACCTTATTTTTTGTTGTTAAGCTATTACACAAAACGAAATTTTATACTTTAACAAATTCACATTGTATTACCAAATAGATCAGTATCGAAAACACAAAACTAACTATGTTGTTTGCATATCTAGAAACAAGGTAGCTAGTAAACACTATCCATCGCCAACTTTTGGGCTACTCTCTACTACCGAATAGTGGGATTGGCCAAAAGTTTATAACGCCCCCACAGCTGCAAGGATGAACATATTCAGGGAAGAGATATGAATCCATAACCCACAGATTACGAGTCGAATGGTAACCATTAAGTCATGCTAGGCCATAAAAATCAATTAAGAAATGTACGTCAAAGGTAGATCCGCAAATATAATTGAGCAATGTTTGAAAAGCTAATTCTCTCCTAATTTTCTTTTTTAGATTTAAGGACTTTATTACTGTATTAAAGTCATCAAATGTAGTTTATAAATTTACTAGTCCCTGCTATCAGAAAGGCTATAATGGGTCTACTAGAAGAAAATATTTACTCATATTAAAAAATATATGAATTTTATTTTCCTTACTAAGTCGACCGTACTCGGACATATTATAGGAGAATGTGACAAAATGTTATACTTTATCAAGCTCACATTATATTACCAGATAGATCAGTATCAAAAACAAACAAACTTACTAAGTCGACCGTACTCGGACATATTATAGGAGAATGTGACAAAATGTTATACTTTATCAAGTTCACTTTGTATTACCAGATAGATCAGTATCAAAAACAAGACTAACTAAGTTGTTTGCTTGTTTTGTAATTAAGCACAAAGATACACAATAGGCTGTCTGTACTCTGTCTACCATGGGTATCGAAACCCGGATTCTATCGTTGTAATTCTGCAGACATACCGCTGTGCCACTGGGGAGCAAGTTGTTTGCATATGTAAGATATCTTTATTATATGTTGTTGTTTTTTTTGTAATTTATAAAGTAACGAATTCTAATTAAAAGCACTATATTTCACTTCGTAGGATGAGCACGAATAAATTACCATGTCTATTAATTGAAATGAAAAGTTAATCAAATAAGGAATAATTTTTATGTTTATTTACTGTAAAGCACAAAGCTACACAAAATCCTATCCGTGCTATGCCCACTGCGAGTATAAAACACTGATTTTTAGCAATATAAGCCCATTGAGTTACTGCTGAGCCACAAGGGGCTAATGTTTTTATGAAAAGTTACAATAGAGAAATGTGTGTGTTTTGAAATGGACGAAGTTAACCCATTAAATAATATTTTTTCTGAATATTTACGATAGAAACATGTCTGTGTCTTAAGATGGACAAATTAAATCTAAAAAAAGGATAATTTTTATGAACAGTTACAATAGAAACATGTCTGTGTCTTAAGATGGACAAATGTAATCAACAAAAGGATAATTTTATGAACAGTTACAATATAAACATGTCTGTGTCTTAAGATGGACAAATTTAATCTACAAAAGGATAATTTTTATAAACAGTTACAATATAAACATGTCTGTGTCTTAAGATGGACAAATTTAATTTACAAAAAGGATAATTTTTATGAAAAGATACAACAGAAACATGTCTGTGTCTTAAGATGGACAAATTTAATGTACAAAAAAGGATAATGTTTTGGATAATTACAATAGAAAGATGTCTGCGTATAGAGAAAGACGAGGTTAATCCAATAAATAATGATTTTTCTGAATATTTCACATGCTTTTCTTATATATATGTACTATTAACTACAGTGGACTATCCTTTACATGAAAAGAACGAAATCCAATGGAATAATGGGTTAGTTATTCATTTATAAAAGGTATATATGCCAAAATGTTTTATAAGCGTTGAAATAGGAGTAAAAGAAGTGAAGTTATGATGTAAACTGCTAAATCAGAAAATGACTATGTAAGCTATATCATTTTGGCAGTTGTAGGATTAATATAATCATTATTAACAGATGAGACATAACTTGGGCTAAGTGTGACCCAATGGTTAATGGTCCGGATTTTCGTTCGGAGGTTGTGTGGTTCGCGCTCCGTTATTACCAAAATAAAGATTCGCACTTTAGGGTCATGGGTACGTTGTAAGAGCGGTGGTCGAATTCCACTATTCGATTTGAGTAGTTCAAAAGTTTGTGGTGAGTGATAGAGACCAACTGTTCATCACAAATATTCCACGTGTAGGTTTTTTTTTTGCGAAAATTAAGCAAACGACAACAAATTATGACTTTTACTGTCTTGGTTCATAATTTCAAAAATGTGTATAAGATTAATTTTTAAATTGTGATTTTTTAATATGGGAAGAGAAGAATTTTAAAGAACAACACATATAAAAACAATTCACTACACAGCCTGAATATAAACATATCTTAAGATTCACAAATACAATGCCAATTTTTCTGTAATGTAGAATAATATAATACAATATAAAATATTATATAAGTAAACTATAAATATCTTCATGATATCATTCTGAAGTAAGATAGCAACGTGATTAATGTGATCACTAATAAAATGAATATAAAAATTCAAACAAACGACTGAAAAGTTCGAATTCTTCTAAAGAACGATTCCGTCACACCTGACGAGATGAAACAACTCTTTCAGCCACTTCACATTTTTCTGTTTGAATACTTTTTTATCATAAGTAAGTTTTTTTTTAATCCAAGCTGTTATCCCGGTGTTAAAAGTTAATATGCATCTAAACTGTTATCCACATAATTGCATGCAACATATTAATGTTGCAGACGATACATTTTTTCAAGCAGTTTGATGGATATTGACATTAGAGCCGCCGTCTACACTGAAGCTATAAACTAAAATCCTTGACTTGCAACTCTGAAATCCCGGGTAAGGATTCCCGCGGTGGACACAGCAGATAACTAATTGTGGTTTTACTCTAACACAAACAAACTACCTAACTAAAATCCCGAGGAGTGAAAAGGTTTAGTCGCCTACTCAGGAACAGTAAATTAGAATTTTTAGGATTCGAGAAAATTTCGTCACCTATTACCATGAAGAAAAGTACCACTGTCCACAAGAAAGCGGTAAATTAAAACACTGAGAAGTAAGGCAGAGTAGCCACCAACACGGAAGCTTTATACTAGAATTTTAAAGAGTAACGAAGTGTTGCTGCCTAAACGAAAATTGTAAACTTGAACCCGAGAACAGAAAGAAAGTGCCGTTTACCACGCATAAGTGTTGCTGCCTAAATAGAAATTGTAAACTTGAACCCCGAACCCGAGAACATCAGGAAAGTGCCCTGATCACAAATAAGAAGACCGAGGAGTGAAGAAGTGTTGCTATCTAAACGAAAATTGTAAACTAGAACCAGATAACACCAAGAAAGTGACCACATGTAAGAAGACTGAATAGTAAATATGTATCGTCAGATACAGAAGCTGTAAATTAAAACTACGAGAAGAGAGTTTGAGATGATCGAAAAGTGGGAACAAATTCTAGATGTGCCAAGTCTGTTCAATGTCTCAGTCTTTGATGAGAAATTATATACATAATAATATAATATGAAATAAGAAATATTACATATGCCTGACATTTATATTGCTCGTTTTCTTCATCACGTTTTATAGCTTGGTTTCCTTTCCAACGTAACACAGTCTAGTTATAAAGTCAGTATGGGTAGTTGAACAGTATGTAGATCGCACCTTGTAACATATGGGCGAAATATTATGCTGAAGTGTCAACTAGGAACCATGCTCTTAACATTTCTATTAGGCCTCACTATTGATCTCACCGCGCTGACTACTGGTTATGAAGATCTTTCTGAAGATGATAGTCCATTGTTCTGACTCAGTAATTATTCTCAATCAAAGGATGCCATTTCAAGAAATTTTGGGTGATTTCCGGGAAGTTAATAACACCACTGTTAGGATGGTCGTAGAAATCGGAGACGATGGTACATTATAGCAGCATTGAACAGTTATTATAATTAACCCAGATTCATTTCCGGAACACAATGCAATACATCACGCGTAAAATTTTTTATCGTGTATTTCACGATTCGCTCTTCAGATTGATTCATATACTCATACTGATTTTACAATTTCCATATATGTGTGTGTGTGTGTGTATGTTATTCTCTAAAATGCTAAACAGCTTCTTTAGACAGAGAATACTTACATCAACACTAAATAGACAACATTTATTGAGACAAAACAAAACCTGCGTCAATAGGCCTTTTGGGGTATGTAAATCTAATTTCGTTGTCGTTTGATTATAGGTATAAAAAGTACGATCAGTCACTTAAAATATAGCTAGTAGTGTCATTATTTTGTTATTTTTTTTCTTATTATATACTAAAACGTTTCTTCTGTTTGATGCCTTTAATCACTGTCAGAAAGATAAATATTTGACGCACCAA